GGAAATGAGAACTGGGGAGCTGCTGTCCCTGCTGCTGGCTTCAAGATTCCACGACTTCAGCCGCAACCTGTTGCCAGAACTACTGACTCCGGCACAATGCAGTACCTGCTTCATCAGATGGATATCTCAAGCACTGCTTCTCTTCCTGCTTAGCTCATTTCCAAATCTGGGCTCACTTGAGACCATCAAATTGGTGGGATCTTAGAATCTTAGTTGCAAGGGAGTCTGGAAAGCTGGGTTTTAGCTCTCCAGTATCAGCATTGCAGCAAGACATAATAGGAGGAGATTAAAATTGACACTGAATGAACCCAGACACTGTTTTTGCAATCATATCCTTTGTCTGGTTTTCTTTTAGATTGCATTGTTTTAATGATTCATAGAAGTTCTTTATATAGTCTAGATATTAAACTTTTTTAGATTATATTAACTACAGATATCTTCTGGTCCAAGGCCTCTCTTTTCCTTTTGATTTTACAATTGTTTATGAACAGAACTTTTCAATATTACTGTCATCAGATGTATCAACTTTTCTTTTGGGGTTTGCACATTTTATATTTTGTTGAAAAAAATCCTTCCCTTCTAGACAATATAAAAATATTTTCCTGTTTCTTCTAAGAATTTAGAGTTTCACATTTAACATTTAGGGCTTTAATCCATCTGTAATGTATTTGGGGTGTTTTGGGGTTTTTTTATAGAGGAGACCAATTGCCCCATGGACTGTCTTTTCCCAGTAACTTATAGTGACACTTATGTCATATATCAAGTTTCCATATTTACTGTGGTCTGTTTCTGGGCTCTCCAACCTGTTCCACTGATCTGTTTTCCCCTATGTCAATACTATACTTTTTAATCATTATGACTTTCAAATAGATCTAGCTGTCTGGTGGGACAAATACCCCTACCTTGTTCTTCAGAGTTCTCTTAGCCTTTTACTTGTCCATATATATTTTAGAATAATTTTATTATGTTCTACTAAAAACAACAACAAAAAAACCCCAAACTCTATTGGGAGTTTTACTGAAATTGTATTGAAGCCATTTGGGCAATTTTTTTTTTGTCTTTATGATATTGATTCATCCTATCCATGAAAATAGTGTATCTCTACTTGTAATTAGTTCTTTGATGTATTTCAATAAAATTTTATGATTTTTTTGTTAAAGTCTTATACATCTTTTGTTAAATCAAGATATTTAAGAAGGAATAAGTATTAAGTATTAATATATTATTAAGTCTTTTTATTATTGTGCTGCTATTTTTCCTTAAATTGCACTTTTATATATTGTTGGTATATATAGGAATATGATAAATTTTTTTCAATGTTGATCTCTAGCAAAATTAAGAGATTCTCACTTTTTCTTGCAGTTAGTGTTTAGTTCACTTCAAAGCTATAAAAGTGTGTAATTTAAAGAGATGGATAGTTCTGCATTTGTCATGAGAAACAGAGACAGATGATTCTATAATGTTTGTCATGAAAAGCAGCTCGTCCTCTTCTCTTTCCTGCTCCAGCCACTGCCAGGCAGTTCCTTATATCATTTTTAGCTGATTACTTTATAGCACACGTGTACCGCTGCTTCTTGAGCTTTCAATTTAGGCATTGTTCTTTGATTTCCTCTATGGAATATGAGGCTTTAGCTTTTTTTCACTCCCTCTCCATCACCCTATCCTCTCAGTACTTAATATGAATTAGATCACTTGCATTATTATATCTGTGGATTCTACTTATAATCGAACCAGGTAGTGACATGTAATTACTTTTATCTTTTCTGCACAGTTACGACAACTCTTGTTTTTGTTGATTGGTTTGTTTTTCAGTTTTGTATGAATTGTCTGTGTAATTATGACTAAATAAGCACCATATTCTCTACTGATTCAAAAAATCTGTTCTCGAGACATTCTAGTACTATAGCCCAGTTCGTTTGCTGTCTCTCTGTAGCCAACAGTCAAACCTAGGATTTTCTTTCCTCTATCCTGGGGATTTCCTCAGTCCCTCTCACATATTAGATCACCAATTCCTTGTATCTTGTGTCTTTCTGTTTCTTGACATCTTTCTTTTTTTTTAACATTTTTTATTGATTTATAATAATTTCACGATGTTGTGTCAAATTCCAGTGTAGAGCACAATTTTTCAGTTAGACATGAACATATATATATTCATTGTCACATTTTTTTTCTCTGTGAGCTACCATAAAATCTTGTATATATTTCCCTGTGCTATACAGTATAATCTTGTTTATCTATTCTACATTTTGAAATCCCAGTCTATCCCTTCCCACCCTCTACCCCCCTGGTAACCACAAGTCTGTATTCTCTGTCCATGAGTCTTTAGATTCCACATATG